TAAGGAAATGGCAAAAATAATTCCAAAGGTATTAACTAGCAAGTGCTTTGAATTAATAATGCTGATTTTTTTACATAGTTATACATGCATCAGTGCTCTTGGTATTGGTGACAATGCTGTACACAACATTAGTTTTGAAAGGACTGTATGTTTATAGTCCCAAAGAAATGGAGTTCAGCATATACTTACTTCATACATAAGCTTTTTCTTTGAAATTTCCTGACAGTGGATGCTAGCAGGAAGTGAAATGATAGGTGGATTCCAAGACAGTGTACTAAAAGCAAAACAGCCTAAGTCACACCTATCTGATCCCTTAAGGAGAGGGCAGGAAGTTAAAAAAAAAAAAACAGAAGCTTTTAAACATTATGAGACAAACATTGCCTCATCCACGTCCTGCCTCAACTGAGAGGAAAAGGCCCTTTTCTAAACAACTGATATAAGATACAGGTTAGCAATACACATGTGTTGGGTTAACCCACAGCAGCTGGCATCTCCAGGGTAAAACTGGAATTCTGTTCCTCATCAGAAAAAATCCTGGTTCTTGCCAAGGCTTTTAATATGTACTGTTCATCGGCAGGTCTTAGAACATGGTAGGAATGAAGAAAAGTTTTGTTCTAAAATAACTGTAATACATGAAAACCAGACATTTAACCCAACCTAGGCTCAGGACCCCACCGTTAAGCTGATGTGACAGAGCTACAACTCTCACCACTCCTCTGCACCCCAGTGGTGGCACCATCCTGCCCACAGAGCACAGCCATTCACACTCCCCTAGCATGGACAGCATTCAGAGAAAGAATTCTGAGGAAACAGCTTTATGTACTTGAAAACTGATTTTAAACAGGTCAGGATTGTATCTTAGTGTAAATGTCTACTTCCAAAAACTCAAAGTGTAGCCTACTCTGTCAGGGAGATCAAAAGATAAAGCAACATCACCCTTGAATAAAACCCTCAAAAGCCACATGAGGAGCCCCATTCCCTTGTGTCAGATAATAAAGTAGCTCCTGAGAAAGCCCCTGAACCCAGGCAAGGCTTCACCAGTGCAATACATTTTTAGCAGTCAGGTTGTCCTGCCAATGATACATAAGCTCTTATAAAAGGGAGAAAGAGGAGCCAGTTGTAACGTCACTGACAGATCTGCAAGTATGGACAGCACATAACGACTTCTCTGTAACAAACCTCGCAGGAGAGTCCCATCACCATTCTATCAACACCCATGGCTCTGATCCTTGGGAAAGATCTTCAGCTGCCATCACAAATTACATGTTAGAGGCTGGAAACTCCCCCACACCCTATAGGAAATCTGAAATTATTATCTATTAATAATAATTACAGATTTCCATTGTCCTCTTGATTTCCTTAAATTAGGCCCACACAGTTCTTATTTTCAACCTGACAAGTATTTCAGTGCCCATTTCATGGATGCTTCAGCTGCTCTCCCAGTCTTTGCCTTTATTTTAGAAAATGGGCCTGAAGCTGACCAAAGCAGAAGAGAGCTGCCCTAAACCGAACTATTCCAATGTCGCTCTCCTTCATAGTAGCTAATTCCAACCCCTCTAGTTCAGGAATACAGGGCAGCTACAGAGGGTTGTAAAAAAACTTACAAACATATGTAGTCTATACCTGAGCTACCCTGAGGCAGAGGGGGCCAGCTACTGTTTGCCCAGAATACCTCACAAGAAGAATAAATACATTATAATTAATGATGGGCATGGGCTATGGAGTTCTTCATGGAAGACATGGTTGCAGTGCTGGACAAGGCAGTCAGCAGATGTTGATTCTGGAGCTGTCCCATCCATGGCAAGTTGAGAGCAAAGACACAACCTGAGCTCCCAGGCTGGGAGGAGCACAGGAGCCAGAACAGGCACAGGACTCAGCAGGACGGGCAAGACAGAGCCTGTGTGCAGCCAGAAAGGAACTGTTGGTGCCTTTTGCTTCTGTAGAACCCAAATGAACAAGTTACTCCTGTAGAAAAAGTGACTGCCATCATTTCAAGGACAAAAATCAACTAAAGCTGTTAAGATGGAAAGAGTTTTGCTAGGTTCTTCATTGGCCTTAGCCTGGATACGCATTAGACTCAGGTATTTGGCTCATGCAGCCACTGAACATCTACTCCAAGTGAATGAACTAGAAATAATGCAGAAACCACTGCCCCTTAATTTAATTTTGGGCATACTAAGAGAAGCACAGTCTCTTTCTTGTGGGCCCATCTCCTCTCACAAACTGCACTCCAGAACTGAGACCCCCATGAAAAAGCAAAGCCTGCTTCAGCCCTTGCTCCAATCAGCACTAAAATCAGATGGGAATGCCACGAGGCACATGTGGAATAGGAGAGCACTTCCATAGGCAGCCCTTCCTAGATGCTTCCTCCAATCCCTATTGTATTCCCCAAATCCTTTGTTCAAATGCTTTTCCTACACAACTTTAAGCAGTAGTACCCAAGGGGGACAGCAATGCTCTTACAGAGCTACAGTGCTCAAAAGGACTTCCAAAATCCTGAGACGTAATTTTACAAGCGCTTGGCACATGACGAAGGGCAATGCAATCCAGTCTGTACACTGACAGCAGTCACTCCACTGTGGTCACCAGAGAAACCAGAGATTGTCTTTTTCTGTGTGCCCACCCATAATCCGCTCTAACCAAGAAGTTCCATGAACAAATAACAGCATGAAGCCACAATACAGAGGCTTCTCTAGATTCCAGAAAATCTTGTGTGTACAACACTGGCAGAAAAATTGCAATTCTTATCTAAAATGTAAATAAAATCAATTCAACAAGTGCATATCTAAGTGGATAAATTGAAGCGGTTATCAGACAAAAAAAATCCGGCTTTGCAACAGTGACTGGTCACTTCTCACTGCCAGACAAATCAAAATCCACCCTGCAGAAAAATCAGTCTCAGAACAGAATGTGAGATTTGTTTCATTTCCGAAGCTTCCTGCACCATTAGATTCTTCCCTAAAGAAGAGACTTCATTGTTACGGCAATTAGTATTCCTCCACCCCGGCAAAGGGAGGAAGAAAAAGCTCTGAAAGGGTAATCGAGCCATTTCGCAGCTTTGCCTCCTTACTCCACCCAGTCTCTTCCCTGTTCAATGGCTGCTCACAGCATCCACAAACATGGGAACAGCAACAGAAACACACAAAAACGAGATGCCCGAGAACAAGCCGGATATTTGCAATGCATCTTACAGTTTTAAAATATTTTCTTTGTTTAGTTCCCCAACATAATTTTCCTATTTAACAAAATTACTCTAAGGGCAAATAACATTCTGACAGCAGACCCTCCCTCTCCCGAAAACCAGCAAATGCTGCACGATCATTTACAAAATGATCATCGCTGAACGGAGGTTCTTTAACCAACACCTCCTAATGCCATGAACAATACTGTCATAGGAACATATACTTCAGAGAATCACCACAAAAAAACATAATTTAAGCAGGTCAATATGCCCAAACATTTAATTATATTAAAACGGTGTTTATTAAAGATTTTTAATATAGCTTAGATTAACCTTCCCGCATTCCTAGTAGGCAATTCATTATGAAAGGACTTGACCTGCACCAACCAAGCCCACTGCTGCAGCACTATTGAAATGGTTTGAGTGATACCATGGCAAAAGAAAGGGAAGGTGTCACATTATTATTGGTATTAAAGGTCAAGTTTAATTGCATCCACCTTAAACAAAACAAAAAAATTAAAAAATAAAAAAATCTCACGCCCACAGAACTGAACAACCCCCAAACTTTTCAAGGGAGGCACCACTCCCACCCCCCAACTTCCATCAAAAGCCCTGCCTGCCTATAACCTCCTGCCGAAACAAAACCTCGCGAGCAGTAATTAATACAGGATTAAAGCAATATTTTAAGGTTTTCACGGGAAGCCTATGCACCTGCAGGCATCCAGGCAGTGATATGACCCTCAGAAGGAGAGATAAGACCTCCCTCCCCCGTTTTACTGCAGCTGGTTCTGAAGGTCTGAGCCACCTCCTATCGCTGCTGCCCTGCTGAGCACTGCAGGAAAACTGGGGATGCGAGACAAATTCTGAAACAACACCTACTCCTCTCCGCGGATTATTAATTCTCGCCTTGTTTTCGGTGCCTCAGCCGCGCTGGCCATTGGGGCCATCGCCCGCCGGCCGGCCCTGCCCGGGGAGGGTGACAGGGGGAACCCCCGGCAGGAACCGGGGAGGGATGCTCGGGCTGCCCTCCGCGCACACGGCAGGCCCATCGTCCCTGAAGGCGATTTTATCGCTCTTTACCCCGGCCCATCGCCTCCTCCCGGTATTTGCTAAGTCACGGACGGAGCGGCGCGGCCCGCGGGGGGGGGACGCGGGCCCGGCGGCGGCTCTGCACCCGCCCCGCCGCTCCCACCGGGCCCTGCTTTCCTGCAGAGTCACGGCGGGAGCGGGGCCCGCGGGGAGCGCAGGAGCCGCGCCCCGGCCCGCAGAGCCCCCGCACCGAACCGGGGGAGGACACCGGGTCGGCCCCCGCCCCGCCCGGTCCCTCCTCACCAACGGGCGCGGCCGCCATTTTGAGAGCGAGGAGAGGGGGGAGCGGGCGAGGGCGGGGAGCGGAGAGGAGGGGGGAGCGGAGAGGAAAGCGGCGGCCGCTCGTGCCCCGGGCCGGGACATCCCGCGGGCCGGGGGGGCGGCGGGCCCCGGCCTCACCGAGCCCCGCCGGCGCCGCCGCCTCGCCGAGCTGCGCGGCTCCGGCGCCACCCGCCTGTCCCACTCACCGGCGCGGCGTCCCGGTGCGGGGTCAGGGTGCCGGTGCGGAGTGGCGGTCCCGGTGCGGGGGTTCCGGTGCGCGGTCCCGGCGCTCGGGGACGCTCCGCTCGCTCCGCGCTGTCAGAGGCGCCGCGGCCGCCGGGAGGGAGGGCGGGAGCGGCGCGGCCGCCGCGGCGCTGCGCATGCGCGGCCGGGGGCGGGGACGGCCGCCCGCCGCCATCTTGGGCGGCCGAGGCGCCGGGTGCGTGTCCCGGCGTGCCGCGCGCGCCCCTCCCGGCGTGCACTGCGCGGCCGCTCGGCTGAGGGGGCGGCCCGGGCGCACCGGGGGAGCCGGGAATAGCGGGGATAAAGGGGGTTTTCCGGGAGAACCGGGAGCACCAGGCACAGGCCACGAAGGGTCAGGCACACCGGGGAAACGCCGGGGCAGCAGCAGTGGCGCCGGGCACGCCGGCTGTCCCGTGCACCGGGAAGAAGAGGCACCGCGGGTACAGCGCATCGCCCCGGCCTCCCGCGGCACCAGGCGCTGTACTGCTTTCCCATGTCCCTTCCCAGGAATGCCTTCCCGGGACAGCTGTGTTCTAGTGAGTGACTTTGTCCCGCAGGTTGGGAGAAGCGTTCGGACCTTTCGTGTCCCTCACCTCCGTGTGACGGGAGCTCTGGGGGCTCCGTGTGCTGCTCCCAGTGCCCCTTCACAGGGTCAGTGTAGGAACACTCGCTCTTTACACTGGGAACTGAATGTTCGCATTATCCACAAACCCCACTTAGTGAAATCTCAAAATGTCCTTTGTTTAGTGTCTCAAAATGGTAGTTCCTGGTGGTAAACTGAGGCACAGACCACTGCTGCTTTAGCCCGTACGCTCACAAGAGCTGACACAGCAGAGTCTTGGCACTGCCTGTCCCAGCTCCTGTGTTGTCAGCACAGCCAGGCAGCTCTGTGCAGCAGAGTTCTCCCATCCCTTTGCAGCTCAGAGTACCTCTGCTCCGCAGCAGCCCGCTGTCAGGTGTTGTATCGCACTAAGAGTTCACTTGTAGTTGTTTTGCAGTCCCCGTGCTCTGCAGTGGCCGGTGTCAGGGGCAGCAGTGCTTGCCCAGGAGCTCTGCACAGCCCAGTGTGGTGAGCGCTGCAGCTGCGCTGGCCGAGGCCCAGGCAGGGAACCTGCTGCTGGCCCGGAATGCCAGAGCCCTGCAGGCCAGGGACAGTGACCAGAGCCACCTCCAGCGCTGGCAGCATGGCAGTAATGCGGTGAGTGGGCCCACGCAGCTCTCTGAAATGCTCATTCAAGGGAAGGGGTAGTTCCATGTGGAAAATTACCTAGATAGCAAAAACTGAAAGAAACTTGAAGGGACACTGCAAACTTCGTAATCAAATGCTGTACAGTCCTATCTGTTACTCCTGTGAGTAGCAGTGGAGATTAGCAGTGTAACAGTTACCTCATGGATCTCTGTGTTTGTACCCAGAGCACCTGAGGGTGCTGGGGTCAGCCTTGCCTGTGCTGGGCCTTGGCCCCTCTCTTGCTCTTGTTTGTTTTATACAGCAGTAGACAAGACAGGGCTGTACAAACCCCCTACATCACACAGGCACTCGCCAGGGTTATTTCATAGACAACATAAGAAACGGGACTGAAATTTAGGGGAGGGATTTCAAATGGTTGCCCAAATTACCTTGGCTTTACTTCCACCTACTTGCAAAGCAGACAGAATTGTTTTGACAACCTCAAAATTCTAATATTTCAAGTATTTTGAGGTGCATATTCAAGTGATAATTAGCATCTACCCAAAAAATTAAATCTAGTTTGCAGGGATTAATGAATTTTCCAAAGATTGTTAGGACGCATTTTATTCTCCTTTTGCAGCTGGCCTTCCTTGTAATATCATTGTTTGATACTAGAATGGAAAAGAAGTCCCGGCTGCCAGCACAGCTGAACGGTGAGGAGTCCCAGAGCCCATTTTTCTTGATCATTTCCTTGATTGTGACCATGTACCTTGATAATAACAAACATGGTCCCTGTGCCTCAGTGGGGACAGGCACAGCTCCTTGCACAGCTCCTTCTGATCTCCAGTTTTTCCCTCAGAATATTCCTGCAGGTAGTGTTTGCAGCTTGCACAGCTCTGCTGCAGTGTGAGCCAGGCTTCTTCAGGGGAGTTTTTGCCATCTGGGGTGGCACGCACAGCAATAGCTACTACAGCTGAGATTATGATTCCAAACGTTCCATCAGCCCTTGCCACACACTTCCTGCTAAACAGGGAAACTGGATTCATTGATAATTCATATGTTGCCTCTGAATGAAAGTTGTCATTAATATTCTACGCATGTATATATTTGTGTAGCAAAGCACCTGCAGTGACTGTACCACTGCAGCCAACTCATGTACACGTTTCACGTCCGTCGTGGCGCCTGACCTACAAAAGATGTGAGCTGTTACAGCCACAGAGCTCTGGAAGAGAAAGAGTTGCATGAAAATGCCTCCACAGATTTGAACTGAAAGATCAGTGCAGCTTTAGGTCGGGACTGAATTCCAGTGACACAAATACTGTCATTACAAGGTGCCTATGCACATACCAAAGGAAATTGACTTGTAGCCATGTCTTGCAATTCAATTAAATGAGTCAATGGGCATGTCTACCTGTGTCATTAACCCTGTCACTGGGATAAATCACAAGAAATGAGCATTTTTTCTTCTTTTTGTTCACTAGTGAATAGTGACTTCTCTGTGGCTCAAACAAGACTTTAGAACTGCAATTTTCCACTTTATTGTTCCTTTAGATGCAAAAGTTTTAGAAATCTCACTCCCAGTACTCATGTGGGTTTTCCTCTACATTATAAACATAAGGAAGAGAGCAATCTGTGTGTCCCACTCTATATGACATTCTCAGTAGCATTAAAAAGAAGATAAACGAATCCTACCTCTGAGGTTCCTCTGTGGGGAACCTTGGCCCTGTGCAAAGTCTTCCCTTGTTGCAGTAAAATTTTTCACTGAAGTGAGTCCCTTTTCTAATTTAGCATGAAGGAAATTAAAATTAAATTTTGAGCAAGTGTTCCTGTTTTCCTGCTAAAAGTAGCCATGCCTATTTTCATTCCATTTTGTGTCTCACCTGGACTGCCGATCACATAGAGCTTATAAAGAGTTTATGCTACTTTTGATGATGATGTGTTTCTGTATCTCGATACAATAGTCTTTGATAGACCAATACTATTCTGATGATACTGCTGTCACATGGTTCCTTCTTTAAACTCACATGTTAGTTCTTTTCCTTGAGCCAAAGGATGAAAGTCCAGGTACAAGCAGCATTTCAGCCACTTATCAGTTCTGTTTCCACTGGTGTTCCCTGCCAGGCCCTTATCTATGCCTGACTGCTCACCCTGGAGGTGCAGCATTCCCTGGCAGCAGTGGGCCTGACTCCTGTGCTAGTCCTGGGTTATCTGCTGGTTCCTCCGTGTTTTTGTGAGGTTGTAATTGGTGCCTGCTTGGCCTCACGTTCACCTTCTCTGTCCCCATACAGTGAGTGGGATGTTAAAAATATCCCTTTTTCTGGGAGACTGTGAAAGCAAGTGTTGCCTATAATAAATTTGGTAAAGTTTTTTAACGTAGCAGTTTTAATTGCAAGTATTTATTTTCAAATGAGAAGATGTGTTCTGCTCCCAGAATTTTAAAATCTATGGGAATTATGTTCAAGGATAAATATGCTTACTTAAAAGCATTTATTCAATAGTTTTAGTGAATTATTTCTTATATCTTCAACATGTTTTTCAGGGTTATAATGAAGGCCAGCAACATGCACATTCCAGTTAAAGGGATGGTAAAGTAGTGCAGAGATAATAAAGCATCCACCTTTTAATCTAATTGGAGCATACACTTTTGCCTGCAAAAGCTGCACATAGTTCTCATACTAATGCTGCAGCTGAACATGCAGATCAAGTCATCATAGACTGCTGTAGCTAACCAAGATAATTTTTTCATTAGTACCTGATTTGTGTAGAAAACTCCTGCAAAGATTCGTGCAGGTATTTGGGATCAGTTGCATCGCTCCAGATGTGCTGCACAGCTGCAGTTCAGCTGCAATTAGCAGCTTGATGGACATGGCACAAGCCTTGCTGTACCTCAGCATCCCTTGTCCGCTCAAGCTTGCTCTTTAAATTCTGCTTTTACGGCACAAATGTGTTTCCATGGGTGCTGCAGAATTCCAAACACAACTCTATGGGACAAATTATTTTTATTTAGTTACTCTGTGAATATTGGAGAAAGATGTTATTCATTAGGTGATTCCTTTATGGACGTGGGAAACGGGTGAAGTCCCGCAGGGCCCGGTTGCCTGCGCTCTGCCATGTCGCGGTGACACAGTCTGTCCGTGCTCCGCAGGTGCGCTGGGGCAGAGCAGGCGGACCCGGCCCGAGGTGCTGCGCGCCCGCCCGCGGGGTGACGGGCGCTTCGCTGCTGAGGTTACCCACGTGCTGCCCGGAGATCTGCAACTGAGGTATGCAGGGAGCCTGGACACCACCTGCGGGGAAGATGACTTCTAATCTTACATGTATTCTAAATAACAATATAATCCTGAGCAGAAGCGCTTCCTCGTACAGCAAAATGAATGCTCTTTTCCTAATGTACAATCTGTTTAGCTGACAAGCCTGCACCAGCTTTAATAAACTGACAATATATCCGCCCATGAAAAACAGCAATATTTTACAACACATAGAGCTATTCAGAAATGTAAATGCCATACCAATGCTTTATTTTTTTACATTTTAGAGTATTTGTTATTACCAGAAAATGAAAATTGTCTATTAGATTAGAAGCTCATGAACATTACTGGTCTAACTAGCGGGCTGAGATGTTGAAATAGATGTGTGCTGAGAGCCCCATCAACTTCTAAACAGCTAGTCCAGGTTTCTTTCCAACAGGACAGAATATTGCAGCTTCCCTACAAGGTGGAGGTAGGTGGCCCAAATGCTGTGTGATTCACGGCCATAAGAATGCACCACCACCAGCCCAAGTGTGGATACTCACACGCCCTGATCAAATTATATGTTTGACACATTCTTAAACTGAACCTTTCTGCAAGCAATTACACACGTTAGTGATGCTGTGATTCAGTGTGGTGCTGGCTGATGATGAAACACTGCAGTGCTGCTCCTCATGGCACATGGCACCAGGAAGCAGGAACCTTAGCTTGCCTTTTTACCATTGGCTTCCCTCTGGAGAACAGCTGTAATTAATATTATCTTAAATGGTTGTGAAAGGACAACTTAGGGACATCGCTTGTTGCATTAGGTGTTTTCTAGTAAATGTACTGAAAACTGTAAGTGGATTTAAAACTTTTGTCAACAGCAAAGAACACAGACACAGTGTGGGACAGAGCTCGCTGTGGCTCTGGGGGCTGCAGCTGCTGCCCAGGGTAGTGCAGCTTCAGGAGCTCTAAAGGACAGAGGCAGTGAAAGGGTTTGTTCAGTGGTACATGAAGAGGAACAGTGCTGCAGTCAATCCCTTCTGGGTGCAACTGTAAGTACCAGGAGGGAGGGGAAGGGAAGGAAGAAGGAATATCTGTCCATTTTTGGAAAAGTTACAAATCTTAACACTAATACACTGTGATATCCTGTGCTTTGTCCTCTCAGGAACTCCTTTTCTTTGGGGTAAATAATTTCATGTCTCTTGAATACTCATTAAAACATTTCCAATGCCAACATTATCCATTCATGTTTATGAAGTCTGTTTATATTCGTGCTTCAGTAAATGTCACCATAAAAGTAATATCATCATATTGGAAAAAATCTTTTCCCAAACTAGTGGTAAAGCTCCTGGTGACTGTGATGGAATTAATCATCCAACTGGTCTGCAATGTTTGTAGACTCCATACTTAGCTGGCTGAAAAGCTCTCTCAGACATTTGGTGTACTTTTGTTATTTGTTCTAAGCATCATTTAGTGCCCTCTGTGATGTATTATATTTATTTATATATATATTATTAGAAAAAGATACATTTTAGGATGAGGCATTTTTGAGCAGGTTAAAAAATGCACTTAATTAAAATTGCTTCAGAAAGGATCAATTGTTCCCGACTCTCCACTGGATTTTCTGTATTCGTTCCAAATAGGAAATTCTAAACAAACTTCATTGAACTAATGTGTATTACCTTAAAAACTGATAAAAGACTGAGTTCTGGTGTTTTGAGAGCTCTCTATGAAAAAGGGAATACAACTTTACCTCAAGGTAAAAAATCAGCATCCAACCGTGACATAAAAGTTTGCAGGCAAGGCTTCCACTGGTGCCAGTTAGAGCTGCACTGTAGGGAGATTATAGTTATGTAATAGAATGTTTTAGTGAATAGTTTCATAGTTCAATACATCTTCTATGACTGGGAGAGACGTGGGGCAGAGTGGGCTCTGAACATGACAGGACATGATTTTCACAGTGTTTACCCTTTATTTTACACCTGTACTTCCTGTGACTTAGCCAGAAGTGATCCACAACTCTAACCAGGAACAAAATGTCAGACTTGCATTATAAAGATTACAGTTGTGAAGTTCAGTTTGTTCTCATTTTAATCCATGGTGATATCCTTGGTTAGAAATAGTGTTAATAAATAATGACAATCTGTGTTTGGAATTGAGAAGGATTTCTAATCAAGAATGATTTACTAATTCTTAAAAACATAGGAATGAACTCCTCTTTGCTTCATTTAGAATCCCAGTAGATTTCCATTTGGCCTGGAGAGTTTTCTCTGTCCCCATTTTCAGGCTTCATTGCTTTATCTGTATTCACTGCATTATCTCCTATGGCATCTTCTTCATTATTAAGCAGGGTCTGAGAAGGAGAGATTGAATTAGAGCAATTTTGTCATCTTATGGCACAAGACAATACAAAGTATCTTGTGACATTTTTGAATACTGATAAAGTAGATTTTTTGATATGAACTCTATCTAACACATCTGATCTGTACAGTCTTCTCATACGTCGTATTTGCAGAGCTACTCTGTGATTTTTTAAAAACCTACCAACCAACCGATTTTCCTCTTTTAAGGACTTGTGGAAGGGGATGTAACACAGCCAGGGATTGTGACCTGTCTGTAAAAACCAAGAACTGCGTAAATAAGGAGCTTGAATTTGCAAAGTTGTTTTTTCCCTTAGCAACATTTCCTAGGATTCTTTTTTTCTCCTAATTATTTTTTACAATTAATCAGCCTAATGGTACATAACAGAGCTGAAAGTAATACCCTTTGTTTTCTTTAGAGTTGCCAATGTAACTATAATTTAAAAAAAAACCAAAACAACAAAAATAAAATCAAATCAAACAGTGTTGGGCAGGGTGTCTGATTGACAATGTGCCAGAATAATGAAGTTAGGTAAGGCTGTTAGAAGGCAATTGAATTATGGTGAGACAGTAATAACTACAGTGGGAGTCTGGACTGTAAAAACTGTCATACCTCAACAGACAGTTCTGAAAAATTTGCCTTTGTGCCACCTGCACATCTGTAGGAACAGGCATGTCCACTGCTGGTGAATGCCAGCGTAGGAGCTTGGTTCTGGAGCACTTGTGTGTGCAGTTCCTGTAGATCACAGAGCTTCTGGTACAGAAGCAGGACGAAATTAAGCTAAGAGTTACTGTAGTGAGTTGAAAAGAAAAAGTAAATTCTGAGGAATAAATATGGACTTGTTTGGGAAAAACTCCATCTCCTGCCTTGTCTGTCTGCTCAGGAGACCTTGACCTTTTCTTTTCAGGTGAGCAGAGCTGGGCTCTGTTTGCCAGCGGAGCTTTCAGAAGCATTCTTTGAATGCTGAGACATATCCGTAGGCAATTTCAGCAACATGCCTTTTATTTTCATTTTCTTGACAGAAGAAGACCAAGCACTGAAAAAGGTGGTGATTGCATTTTAATAGCCAAGAAATCAAGTAATTTTCAAATGGCTAAAAACAAATTCACTGGGGAAAATAAACCAAAAGCATTTCCACCTTCAGCTTGAGAGATGAGCCTTCAGAGTGTATAACCTGCCTGGTTCTGTGTTCACCATTAGGTACTTTGTACAAACCACCTTTTTTAATTCAGGGTAGTTTTCCCACAAGGGAATCTTTCCATGCTCTGAGTTAATTATGTTTCTCTCCTCTCAAGTTTCTTTACTACCTAGAATTTTAAGCTAATGTCGTCTATTTTAGGTTTTTTAAGGTGCTCAGTACTATGATATCTATGTAGTCATCTAAAAAATAGATTTCTTAAAATCTGATTGCAGGGAACTAGAGGGCAGCTAGGGATCATCCTAGTTCTCACAGAACATAGTATCTCTGGGCTGGCTAGAATAGCTGTTCTCAAGTAGTCCTGCTATGCAAAATGTGTACATTTCAATGAGGTGAGTTAGTCCCTATGTTCTAGGAACGCACTTTGATAGTATCATCTGTCATTACTTACAAAACTGTATGAATTGGAGTGCACAGAGCTATTCTGGGGCTGCCAGACCAGTTAAGGGAAAAGTGTTTTACAGGACACTAGAATTGAGTTGCTTACAAGAACTCAGCTCCAGCTGGGGTCAATATCAGCAGGGACTGCTGTACTGAGAGACAGCACATACTCTCCTAAGATAACGGCAGATGCTGAGGTTTTGCAAGAAATCCCTTGCCCCACAACTTCCACCAGCCTCGTTTTTAGCTGGAAGTCTTCAAAGCCTGTTAGCAAACAGCAACAAGTGTTCTACTGACACCTAGGATGGGGAAAATAAAACACCAGCAGTGCTAAATGTCACACTTGGAAATGGCAACCGTACATGTTCAGCAGCCCATTACCCACTGAATATTAAAAAATAATGTCGGTCCTTGCTGGGGCGATGCATCACCAGTCAGAAAATGGAAAGGACTGAGCTCAGAGAGAGCAGAGCCCGCCGAACATGTGGGCAGGAGCCTGTGCCAGTGAGCTCTTACCTAATAACTTGGTAATTCAAGCTCAAATACAGAGTCAGGGAGCACATGGTACATTGGAAATGGAGAAGAAAATGTGAGGACTTGTAGTAAACTTGTAGTAAAATTAATTTTTGTGGAATTTGGGTTGTTTCACTGAGTGACACAAACAGCAGTCTACATTTATACTGATTTATTTTCGTGCACTTCATTCTTCATTTTCAATTGTCTTGCTTCTTGTGGAGTAATTTGCATATATGCAAAATGAATGTAAAAATAATTAAAATTGTGTCCTTTCTCACTATGATTTTGCTAGTGCTAACAACAAAACAGGATGCAAGGCAAGTGGAGAATCTTGCCTTCAGGTATCAGTCTGATTTCACCGCATTTTTGTCCAGTTCATTGTTTTGATGTTATTCTTAATTTAGCAGTATTTTTACTAATTAAAAAAATACTCAAAAAACTGCGCCATTCAGAAAATTGCTGTGCAACTCAACAGCTAATACACATTTTAATCTGGAGTGTTGAGAATGATGATGAGAAGCAAGACAGGATGGAATGGGGGTAGGAAACTTGGAATAATTCAAAGAAATTAGAGAAAAGGCAAGAAGTTAATTTTATTCCCATTTATCAATTAAGGCAGGATTCTGTGTTTATCCATCATGGGAGACAGAGGGAAGGAAGGAGAGGAGTGTCATGAGTTGGGGGTTTGGCTGTGAGCACACCAGTTGTGATGGGAAGGGTGATCACAGCAAAAGAGAGAAGTTGCTGTTGGTTTTCACAATCAAAGAATGTCTGAGCAGGGCAGTGATTGGCTCTGCAGAGAGTCTGTAGCCCCAGAGTAGCCAGGTGGCCAGTTCCCCACTCAGTCTGCCACGTGAGGGGATCGTGAGCTTGGAGCCAGACAGGGTGCCAGGTGGCAGATCCATCGCTCAGCATCCAATTAACAATGACACTGGTTTGGAGCCAAGCGAGAAGGCAGCTCTGCAACAGGGACAGGGAGCATCAGCACACCACCAGTCCGGCCCCTATGGCAGCTCCTGCTCCTTCCATTCCTCTAGAAAGCTTGGGCTTCTCGAGGCTTTGCTTTGAGTGGTTTTGGTTGGTTGGTTTTGGGGTGGTTTTTAAGTGGTAAAGCTGTCTAAATCTTTTGGATGTCTTAGTGTTATTCTTTTCGAGCACTTTCTCCATGGCTTAGAGCAGAGCTGTGCCGTGCTGTGAGCAGTGAGTCTGTCCACACAAGAGAAGAGGTACCCAGGTCATTTAACTTCCAAACTGCATTGGGGTACTGATCCAATTTAGGGAATGTTAGCCCGTGTCTGGTACTGGGATTGTGGCACAGGTAGAACACACCTGATTATACCTGAATTGCTTGACAAGAAATAATGAATCCACTTAGTTCTCATCAAGAATTTTAGAAATAAGGACAGTTTTCAAATTCTGCTTTTCACACTGGTTCAACATTCAGTAAAGGCAATTGCCCTTTAAAGGTTTTTTCACCTCAGTGGATTATGCAAGATGCTCTTGATTATTTACACATTATTTGATGGGTCTGCTTTTCCCACTCTTTACATCTGTCACAAATTTTCCATAGCTTTAAATGGAAGTATAAAATTCAAAGTTTATTGTGATTATGTGGGCATAATAATAGATTTTCTGAGAAAGCTTTGAAAGACAGTCAGGATTTGGGAGACGGAATGGCCCAGTGAGGTTGTTGTTCGAATGATGCTGTTTGTCCACACTGGTGGCTCTCTGGAGGCAGTGCATGTGGTCTCTTCTCAAGCCTTACTGGTCTGCCATAGGAGCAAAGCCAAAAATTTTTGAAGTCTTTTCCACACCCTAGAAACCATATTGAGACATGTAATTAGAGAAAATCCGTCAGTTTTATTCGTATGTTGTCAATACATAGAGGTCTTCCATTTGAGCATCTTGCATAAGTACTAGGGTATTAAAAAAATAAAGGGTAGTATTTTAAAATTTATCTCTTGTCAAGCTTCTCATAGGCTGAAAATGGCATTCCACCTTTAGGTTGGCAGTTAGGGCAAGATAAACATTTCAGAATCAGGCAAATGGACTGGCTGAAAGCAAGATAATAGTTTATAGGAATGGAGCTATTTATAGCCTGCAGGATGCAGTGGTTCAGCGACAGCCCCATGACTCACGGTCAGCACAGGGAAGGTGCTCTCAGGGGAGAGGCCTGGCCAACATCTCAGAGCTGTTGCTGCAGTTGCACATGTGACAAACTGACAGAACCATGGCGGGGGCTTGTGATTCCACCTGGGCAGCTACAAATAGTGACATTTAAAACTCACTGGCCAGGTATCAGACTGGTCACATCCCACTGATTTGATATATATCAGTACAAGGATATGAATATGAGACAATCAGCTACATCAAGCAGAGTGTTTAAAAGAAAGGGTGGCGTCTCCTTTGGCAGATGGAAAACAAAATACCAGTGCTTGTTTCAAGTTCTCAAATACTCTATTTGTTAGATCATGTAATACTTCTCTGTGTTAGACTTCCCAGTGATGAGACAGGACTAGCAGTTTTGATCCATAACTCCTTAAAGCCAAGGAAATACCTCAGCATTTTTGGATGAAAGGGACAGTAACGGATGTACTGCGATCCTGAGTTGACTCATAGTGGCCCTGTGACCCTGTGTTAGCCCTTCTCACCAGTTTCCATGGCAAAACGGAGCTAACAGTGCTCAATTATCCACTTTATCTACTAAACAGGGTTAAGGCTGGGGACGTTAGGACCATTTAATTACTCTTTGTAATGAGCTCTGAAGAGAAGTGTCTAGGAGTCGGTGGTGGTGGAGTAAATCTCACAGCTGCTGGATAACGTGTGCGGGCAGAGTGGGAGGCCGGGGCAGCAGCAGATGCCGGTGCTGCCGGTCCCTGGGCTCTGCGGCCCGCACGCCCGGCCGGTCCCGCGGGGCCAGAGCGGGGCCGGTCCCACCGGCCTGATGCCGAGCGCCTTGCATCATCCGCCCGCCTCCCCCTCTCTCCGCACAGCTGCCACAGTCACAATTGCGCTGGGAGGAGTGTGTCCGTGGCATTTCTGCCCGTTGGATCCCTCGCAGGCCGTCCCACGGAGGTGGGGTTTCTGCCGTGCTTACGTGTCTGTGTTTTAAATCAGGCTCTCCTTGTGTAGCTGCCCTGCAGCCAGCGTGCCCCTCTGCCCTGCTCGCGCAGGCTGCAGAGCGAGGCCACTTGTGGCTCCTTGGCCATCCGACCCAGAGCAGAGCGCCCTGCTCGGCTCACCGGCCCTTCGCACGGGAGGGACGGAGAGGTTCTCAAGGGAACTGGAGAGCGAAAAGGAGCTTGGAGAGACAAAAGGCTATATGAGATAAGTTTCTGGTTACCAGCGGCGGGACAGGTGCCCAGTAGCGGGCACGGTAATCCCCGACTGACCTCGCCGCCGTCCCCTGCGCACAGAGGAGCCCCACGATGTGCAGCAGCTCCGCCTTTACCAGGGCCTGCTCACTCAGCTACACCGCAACCCAAGCATGTCTGTAATCTCTGGCCAGTACGCAATGAACTCGCTGAGCGATTGTACTCCCTGAAAATGATTTATTTTGAAAAACAACTTAAAACAAGAGGCTTTTGATTGGTGGCTAAGTTCAGAAATGCTTTGTTGTCTTGTTCTAATGTTAAATGTTTGTGAAATATAAAGGAATTATTACTCTGTGCTTCTTTCATGTATTCTAACATGATTGCTTTTAGAATACCTCCATAATTTTGGACCAGCAGAAGGGTGTTTTCATGCCAATTTCTAAGGGCAGGAACTAATGTAGTCATTTTGATGAAGGCAGTGCCCAGTCAGAGAGAAAAGACAGAGAAATTAATGGTCAGCTCCAAATATTTCAAAACTGAAAATTCTAGGTAGGGCCTTCCCTAGATAATGTTTTTGCATTTTAATTAATTCTTCAATCTCTATTGGCGTTTTTTACCAGCATCATCAGGGTTTACAAATATTTATGTTTGGTTTTTTTTTTTTTTCCAGAATGTTGCAGAACAACATATGAAAGAATGAAACCCAAATTATATTCTCTTCAAAGATATTATCACTTTGTCATTAATGTAATATGGGGCTTGTTTATCAATAACCTCACATTTTTAGATGCCAGCTGAGAGCCTGCTGAAGGACCAGACAATTGGAATGACTGTCTATAATTGAGCTGTCATCAAGTCAGCTGCCATCCCAGGGATCATGGAATCCTGTTCCTAAATGTCTATGACACCACAGAGTTTTGTGGGGAGTTTTACCACAAGAGGATGCGTCTTTTCCAGGCTTAAATAACCCCTCTCTCCTGGCCCTCTCTTCTCCAGTGATCCCAACTTGTGCTGTGGGCAGGCCCTTGGTTAGGCAATAGTGAGGATTTTGCAAGACATATGAAGGGTAAAACTGTGCTTGATTGCAGGTGGCTTTCACTACAGCGCTGCTAGATTCATGCTAATTTCAGTGTACACTAGATGTTAACCTCAGTGTGATTCTAATTTCAACTTTCCTTGCTCCAGTCCCTCTGTTGCCCCACTAGCTGACGGCCACACCTAGCAGTGAGCTCAGAAAGAGATGATGAAACACAGAGAGCCCCTGCCAGACACCATGAATAGTGTTGCCCCAAGGAAACAAAAATTGCTTGTCTATTTTACACCCATGTGCTGTGCAGATTAGGATATGGCTTCAGGTATTTGAGTGCTTTAAGCCTAACTGTAAGATTTTTTTTACTCCCGTAATAATGAAGTGGAACTAAATGCTCTGTTTTCCAATATGCCACAAGGCTGATTAAATAGGAGGCTGGGAAAGGGGATGAGGAATCAACATTTAGCTTTGGGTATTCTTTTGTTTGTTATTTTGGAACAGTAGGTTGGAGCAGATTACAAAGCTTGAAATGAATATAAATAGTTTCCTGATTTAAAAAAAGAAAGAGAAAAGCAGAAGAGTACTTAATTTAAACCTTGCCCTGAGGAGCTGGCAGCTCAAAGCCAACACGTGGACTTGTGTAGTGGCACTGTAAAGAGTAATTTCAAACCAAAAGGAAATTAAACTCATCTAGCTGGGTTTGCTTCAGTGTTCCCCCAGCCCAACTGTCTGTAGAGCTGTTACCAACATATTTGCACTGGGAATTAGGATGCTATTATTTGTAACAGCTCTCCTCCACTGCAGAATGGCTTCTTGGCACCAAATGATTTCTGCTGCAGAAATCCTCAAAATTTTAATAGCTCTTATCATCTGGGAAATACCAATCCATTTTTGGGGTCCTGGATTTACTTATATCATTAAGATTAGTTAATAAATATAGTAACAGTGACATCACTGTTACCTGTAAGGCTTGCATGGGCAGGAAGCTTCACTGTCTGACAGCTGGGTAGAACAAGGAAGGAAGGGCCAGGTAGGGCATTAGGGCAAGTGGGGAATGGAACAGCAGCCTCCTCCTTCCCAGCTCCCACAGTGTGACCTCCAGACAAGCTCTTCCCATTCATCCTAGCACTTGGTTTTCCTGAAGAAATCTGGCAAAGGATCAGGCAATGCATAATGGAAAGGCTGCTGCATGCTGCAAGGGACAAACCCCACAGCGTTTGGCATTCATTTCTGTTGCATTTGGAGATGTGGACTGGGTAATCCAATATGTCTTTGTGTCTTATCTGGTGTTGTTTGCAGCAGGCCTGTTTAGTGAGCATGTCACCTTTAGGCATTAGTGATGAACAACATCTGAAAATGGAACCCTAACAGGCTGCTGCTTAAGCTCGTGCTCCATGGCTCCATGGCCAGCACTGCCCGCCAAGCTGAGCTGACCCAGGGGCTGTCCACTTTGTCCTTAAGCCAAAAATATGAACTTATGGTAGCACACAATTAAGCAGTTCAGAAATATCAGTGGAAAATAACACACCTTTATTTATCCAAATCTTCTTATTTACTTCTTATTTACAGGTCTGTGCAGGCATAAATAACATATCAATGCATTTGCTTACTTCATGTTGCACATGCTAATTACTAGGCACAGAATATCACTATCTCTGCCTAGTGCATCAGGAATTGTAGAGGGGTTTTGGACTCACTAATAAATACAAATTTTATTATCTATTGAGAACAGGGCTGAAAGAGGACTTAGCAAAAAAGGCCTTGTGGATGGTGTTTTTATTGCTGTCCTTTAGTGAATATCATCCAAAAGAATTTCAGCACTATACTTTGCCATCTCTTCTGAGTGGAATACAAAATTATATATAAATATATACACTTAAATGTACTTTTGCAGCACTTTGGGGAAAATGGGGCTAACTCTGACCCAATTTTTCACTGAAGTGATTAGTGATTAGATGTGCCTCAAACTGAAATCCATTAAAAGGTGCTGCTGTGCTAAAGCTTCATCTCTGGTGATCAAGTTTCTTTAAGGAGTCTGCAGTTACCCACTCAAAAATAGACTCACTAACAGTCACTTAGTAATTTTTGAATATTTAGGTCACTTTTCATTTCTAGTTTTCAGCTTTGGAAGCAGAACCTGGTACAGGTAGTTATTGCTCTGAACTGTCTGCTGTTCCCACTTAAGGGGGAATTTCACCATTAACTTCATCAGCCAGGACTTCTAGTTCTGTTCAAATTTAAATGTATGAAAATTTCAGCCATCACAGTTCCATGTTTCAGGACGGTGTATCACTTGCTTCTGTTCCAATTCAATCCTTTTGGTTAGTTAGGGGTCTTTTTGACTGAAGCCCAAAAAGGCTGAGGGGTTTGGTATATTTCTTTCCCTTCCTTTTATGTGATTTCAGCCATACCTGGATTTGGGGATTTGCTGAGCTTCAACAATCCCATTATAACCAGAGCAATGCAATTTGCAGACAAGCTCTTAATGTCATTTACAGTGATTATATCTGTGTTAAAATTACAGCATTGGTTCAGAGCAATGTCATTATTTTAAATAATTATTTTAAATAATTGTAAAACAAATCAGTCATCCTTTTTTTGTAAAATTGCTTCAAATGACTTTTCTTCAAATACTTCTCTTAGAAGGAGGCCTGTTCTTGTTCTCTGTCAGCGACTGTCAGGTGCAGCCAGCCGTGGCTCACGCAGTGTCGTGCCAATACTGAGCAGGTCAGGCTTAGCAGAGGTGCTATCGACTGCTCGGGACTGTGAGGGGATTCCTGGCTGCTGAGTCTTTCCTGCAGCACAAGGAGCATTGAGCGTGTAGTTGGATAGTTTATTATCAGGATTGCTTCTATTACTGTTATTTCCATGTTCATTTTACACTCTTTGCCTTCTCCAAGGATGGGTTCTCCGTTACCTTGTACTTGTTCCCTGATGTTATTATGCTAGTTCTGGCAGGTTGTGCTCACACCCTACAGTCGCTTGGCCAGAGCATCTTTTCTAACCCTTTGGAGAAATGGTTCTTCTGGCTTTAACCCTACAAAGAAGAACATGAGATTATCTTAACTTGGTACTTCATTATTTGATACTTGAAGATTTTAGGAGAAAAATAATAAAAGTTTCCCTTTCGCCGCTCCTAACTCAACAGGGTATCATGACAGCTCCTGTTTTGAATGTTTTGTGTTACCGGGACTCTGGACAGTTTAAGCAGAGAGAACCAGACTTGGAAATGAAGCTCTCAAGGTGTCTGTGCTCGAGGCAGCTGACTCTGGAACGCTTTGCCGGGCTGTCCATGTGAGGGAGACAGGGAGCTGGGCCGGGATGGGCTCTTCATCCCGGGAAACCGCGGCCAGGGCTGGCCCGGGAGCGCCCGGCAGGAGCCGGGCTCCGCAATCCGCTTCTGCCTGGGAACCGCCGAATGGCTCAGGACACGAGTGTACTGCCAGGAGACGAGTGGAACTGAGAACACACAAGCTGCTGTCAGCTTCATAAATGAGTCACCGAAAGAGAAAAGAGCCCTTTGTAAGTCAGGCACTTCTTACGCTATCAACTTGTCACAAGTGTGAGACCTAAGCAAATGCTTTCAGCATCTAAAGAGATGATCCCTCTGCAGGGCACTCGGTTTCATCCTGATGATGTTTAAAGACATTATTTCATGTCTCTAAACATTGTCTAATGCCAAACAAATGCCGTTTGCGTTTATGTGCTCAGACTAACAGTGACATCCAGTGGCTGAGCGACACAACCTCGGGAACAATCGCTGCGAATGGAGCGGCCGAAGGGATCAGTCATGGTGACTTAGATCACATCGACTGTAGAGTGAATATGTAATATGTCATTCTCAAGACTTGTGTGACAGCCAAACCCATTCCACCTTCCCACTTGTTCTCTTAGGAAGAGCTGCAGTGTTTACAAGAGGAATAGTGAGTTCTCCTGTGGTGGTGGTGGCTTTAGGCATAGACTGACTCCTCGTTTAAAAACCTCCTTTTATCTCTGTGAACAAGTCTCGCTGCGCCTGTAAGCACCTCGGGCGTGACCAAAGCTGATGGGTGTTCTGAGAGCTGCCTGGGCACTGGGGAACAGGTCTGCAGCAGCAGTTATCTAAGATGTAGAATATTGTTTCATGTGCTCCTGAGTCCGCCTTTAGAAGGGAAAACAAAACAAAACAAAACAAAACAAAAAACCACCAAAAAAACCCCCCAAAACAACAGAAAAGGTGACTAGAGCTGGTAATGCAGTGTCATAAACAGGGCTGGCATTTCTCCGTGCCCCTAATGCATCTGATCAGGGTATGTGAATGCAGATCAGAACATTTTTTTATTCCTGAGGTGTTATTTGTTACTGGCCTTGGTCCCAAAGGCAGCCCCTGGAGCCACCACTGCGCAGTCAGACCCCTGGGCCGTGGGCATGTCCCAGGTGGAGGATCATGCACTGCTCTTTGGGATGGCTGCTGTGCCCCTCCTGATGGCAAACTGCAACCATCTTCCTCTCTTACTGCTCAGCTTCCAGAGAGACATTTGTGTTTTGTTTGTGGTCTGACAGTTAACAGAGATCCTAATGACATACAATTCATAGAACTTTGGGATGGTAATTACAACAGCAATGCCACATTCCAGGAACAAACTCGGGTATTTCAGAGAAAGATCACACAAAACCAGGAACAGCTCCCAGAAGTCTTCTGACATTAAGTGTACAAATAGCTTGATAGAATAAATGGTTGCTTCCAGCATGAACAGAACTAACTTTAGACAGGAATCCCTAATGTGCCTGTCAGTGCTTCCAAATGAATGATTGAAGATAAAAATAGATTTATCATGTTTTTGCTT